GAATACCAGTCAGCACACCCAAGCTTATCTGGAGCTGTGTGCAGTCAGTATAGCCACAGATTTCATTTCAAAGCTGCAGAATAATTGAAAAAGCTTTTACCTCCTCAGGTGCTAGATAGAACACTGCCTGCATCTGCTGTCGCTCAGAAAAGACTCTGTGTTTTTCCCCTATCCTGTCTATGTCTGTTAATTTCTACTACTTATGGCGTTCTAGTGAGCACACACAATTTAGGAAAAAAATGCCTGAGAAAGACGGAATCAAGAAACCTCTTGAAATAACCTGCAATTCATATGGTGACATCCATTTGGTTACAATCTTGTCTTTAATTCTAGGACTTTGAGGGTGTAAGCTAAGTTTCTCCATTCTTAGAGATCAATGCTATGGCATTAACATACAGGTAAAGCATGGATTTTTGAATAACAAAAACTACATCTATCCTTTTCCTTGTGGCACTTCAAGTGTGCATCTGCTGAAAGGAGAACCAAACTGGTGATATGGAGTCAGAGCCCCACCTTAGCAGGACATAGAGGAAGGAGACAAATACTCTGGAAGCTCAGCCACAAGTAGGATGAGAGAGGGCCAATTCCTCCTAGACAGAGGGAGTGCTGTTACCACGAAACAGGAGGAAGGGTACTAGGCCGATGAGAACAAGGTATTTCCCTAAAAATCTGATCATATGGCTATTTGTTTTCTCTAAAACCAAAATTTCAGTAGATGAACGTGAAAGAAGGCTATTTGATTTGGCTTCAGTTTTTAACTATTTTTGTTAATTAGTTTTAATTATTTTTGCATATATATAGAGAGGGAGGGACAGACATAGACTAACAAGCACCCCAAACAGGGTCTTCACACCGTGATCTCTCTTCGGCCGCAGCCAACCCAAGTCATAGGCAGATATGCACTTCCTAGCGTGTACAGGGAGACCTCCAAACAGGAACCAGGAACCTTCCCACGTAGATCCTGTTGTGTTACTGCTGTGCCACCATCTAGCCCCATTTTTTTAGCCATGCTTACAATGGAACATAAAGGAATGAATATGTTAGTCACTTCATAAATACCAGAAGCAATGGAAAGAAGAATAAGGGGAGGCAAGCACTTTCCTCATGGAACAATTATGTTGATGTCAGTCAAAGAGGAATATGCTTCCACATGTATATTACATTAGATACAAAAATAGTTTAGAACAGTAAGGTTTTGTCAATTAATTCCCAAGTTTCATGCATAAGAAGAAAATTAGTCATCGTTTTGGTTACTGTTCCAATCAATTGCACTGCTCATTTGTGTCAAAGCTGTTTTTATTAAAACAGCAGAATCAGATGCCCCATTTTCACTAAGTAATGAATTCAGTTAGACGTTAGTGTTACACGGATAAGAGTTTTTTATTGGGACTACTCCCCACGCCCAGCAGTTTGTCCAGTGGCGAGAGTTTATAAACTCAGTTGTGATCACACCACCGAGTAGGTGCTCACTCCATTTTGCTCTTTCTATTTCCTCCCTTTGATTTTTTTTTCTTTCTTTATGGGCTCTTTCTATTCTAGACAGTAAAATCCAGTCAAAGCTCCACTCTCCACTCTCCTCACACTATTTTCTCTAAATAATATCACAATACTTGCTTTCAACATTCTTCTCCTTTCTCATCTCACTCCTCTTTTCCCCAGTTACTTCCCTATTTCTTGTGGATATGAATATAGAGTGAAGTGTACAAGAATGAGGGCTTAGGGAGAATGAAAAAAAAAAGAGTGAGAGTTAGCCAATAAAATGAGATAATTATATTAAAATAAAAAATGGAAGCCTTAGAGACAGTGTGTTTCTTTTGGTCTAAAAATAAAAATTTAATGCAGGACTTGAAAATTGAGGTGAACTGAATGGAAATTTCATTAGCTATTTGTAAACCTTTACCACTATCCTTCTGGAATATAAAGACACCTTTCTGAAAGCAAGAAGTGCTAAGGGGAACTCCTCCACTGTGTAAAGGGCTGGAAATCACCCAGCTTCCTCTCCACATGTAGAGAGCAACTTTAATACAAAGGTTCCCAAAGGCGCATGTGGGAAGAACAGGAAACAGAAAATTGGTATTGACACCAGACTAGAGCTTGAAAATGAAGGAAATGAAAAGACATGACACACACTGAAAATAACACTGCTCAGATGTTACCTGGGGCTGGTTGTGAACAGGATTTTCGCAAAAGGCAAAAGGGAGGTCACGGCTTTGATCAATCTGTGCTGAAAAGGTAAAGGTTTAGTAGCTGCACTTGAGTGCCCAGTAATTCAGTTACTCTGCAATTTCTTTCTTCTGCCTTCCTTTCTGGTTTGCTTGTCTTCTAAAGAGAGAAAGACAGCACCGTACCAGGGTCTCACGCCATGATCTCCCCACCCGTGGTCTTCCCTAGCCAGCCAGGATCTCTCAGGTAGGTGCACTCTTGGTGTGTGCAAGGTGACCACAAAACCCAATCCTGACCTGTCATATGGCTTCCAGCAGTGGAGGGGCTTGACCTACTGCAGGCCAGTCATGCTGGGCTAATATCAGGGATTCTCAAATACTAAACACATGTGGTATTCACATTCGGTGGACTTTGTTCAAGATCCCTTTTCTTGTTGATTATACTGACTGCAATATTGTCAGGAGGTGTGGCCTGTGTGCTCATTTAGAGTGGATTGAGGTTTTGCTCTGAGACTAATGAATAATTTTTTGTGAAGTTGCCATATTTAAAAATAATGTGTGTTTTCTGCTGAGAATACTTTTCTCTCTCTAATCAATGTTTGTGACATTGTGTTACAACATAAAAGACTCTTATTTATTTATTCTATCTTTTGTCACTTTGATATGCATTAAAAAAATCTCCCTCACTGTGGATTTGGCAAGGTTTCTTTGCATCTCCATCAGTTTTAGTTTATATGTTTTGAAGCTTTGTTGTTAGGAATATAGGGATTATAAGGAAATGATTAAATTTTTAATAGCTCACACCTTATTATCAATAAGAAATACTTTTTTTAAGTGTTTGCCTTATAAATAATTTTGTCTGAAATTAAACTTGCTACAGTTGCTTTTCTTTTGCTGGTGTTAATCTGCAGTATCACTTCCCCTTTATTTTTATTTTTTTAAAATAATTTATTTCTCTCTTTCTTCCTTTCTTCCTTCCTTCCTTTGTTCCTTCCTTTCTTTCTCTCTCTCTCTCTCTCTTTCTTTCCCTCTATTTTTCTTTCTTTTCATTTTACCAGAGAGACAGAGTGAAAGAGAGCACACTAGGGAAAGTGAGAATGCAAGCTGCCAGGTGTGGGACTTGAACCACGGACAATCATGTGGAAGTCCAGTGTCCTTATCTACCATGTCACCTGCCAGCCTCACTCATTTATTTTTCTTAACCATTCTGCGTAGTTGTTATAGGTGTGTCTTTCATAGGAAAAATGCAAGTAGATAATGTTTTTTCATTAGATTCTTTGAGAGTTTTATCTTTCAATGGAATACTTTTATTCAGTAATACTTATTATAATTTCTATTGTATTTGACTTATTCATCTCTATTTCTTATCTAGTTATAATTTTTAAAAAATTTTCATTCTCACTTCTTAGTTTTTTATTTGATTTTTGTTTCTTTGACAAATTTTTCTTCTATAGTGGTTTGGAAATCATCTCTCCTATTTTTTCATTAATTATTTACTTTTTATGTTCCACTGGTTTTAATTATTTTTATTATTTAAAAGCATTTGTAATTGTTAGTTTCTTTCCGTGAGGCAGACTATAGAGATACATGATATAGAGAGAGAGAGAGAGAGAGAGAGAGAGAGAATCTATTCTTGCCATTTTATGTCTTTTTTAATGAACAGAAATACTTACTTTAAAAAGTTTATTTACTCCATGAGTAGAAGAGACAGAGAGACAGACAGATCAACATAGAAGTACAGTAGGGTCTTCATACTACAACTCACTCCCTAGCCCTATGTTACTTTGGCTCACAACTCATTAAAAAGAGCAAGAAATGCACCTATACCTTTTTACTTTTTTTGGAGAGGTTTTTGCTATAGGGCATGTGTGCTTGCCAGAAAGACAGAGACAGAGAGACAAAAAGTGAGAAATCACCCCCCGGGGGGATGGCCACACTGCAAGTCCTTCTCCTCCATTCTCCTCTCGGGATCTTGGGCATGCACACTCATGCGCCCGGCGTGAGTTTAAGCCACCGGGTCCAGGACTTGAACCATGTTTGACTACATGGGAGTCCAGCAACATAGCCATTATGCTAACTACTGGTCCTGAATGCACCCATATCAAACCTCAAAGTAGATAGCAAAGGGCCGACCTCACACTTGGTTGGAGGATTGGTGTATCTGTGAACAAACAGCTCCACCATGTGCCACATGGAACAGCAGTCACTGGGTGAAGTGAGAGTGGTGCTAGCACAGAGCTGACAGTGACGGATCTTGTCATATTTAGTGACTACTTTTAATAGTTACCAACTACAAACCCTAAAGTAGGAGTTATAACTCTTGACAGGATCCCACATATTAGAGCTGATTTCTTCTCACAGTTAAAAATTTACACACATTTTTTTTTGTTAATACATAAAAGGACAAAAAGCTCTTTATTGTAGAGTACTGTCTGATCTGGATTGAGAGACAAGTTATCAGAGCCACTGTCTGTAAATAATTTGTAATAAATCATATACACTCTTCTCTCCAAATTCAGGGATGCCATCATTCAGCTTCCCAAATAAAAAAATTGGGACCAACAGACTGGACCGCGGTTCAAGTCTCGGACCCAGTGGCTTAAAACTCACTCTGGGCGCATGTGCGTGCGTGCCCAAGATCCCGAGAGGAGAATGGAAGAGAAGGGATGGCGGTGTGGCCATCCTCCCTGGGGAGGATGATTTCTCTTTTCTGTCTCTCTGTCTCTTTGTCTTTCTGGTGAGTGTAATAAAAAAAAAAAAAAAAAAAAAAAAAAAAAAGAAAAGAAAAGGAAAAAAAAAACCTCTCCCAAATAAAAAAATTCTCTCCTTTTTTTCTAGGATAAAAGAAAACCTACTTTTCACCCCAACACTTTGACAGTGGCGTTGCCCATTTCTTTTAAGGTAAGTCTCCTCCCACACCTGCTTCACATGGCATTTGACCTTCATGACTCAGGCAAACAGCAAAGCAGTCTTCAATAAGTTCCTGGGAAGTGTGTATTATCAATAAACGGGATGTGGATTTCAAAATTTGTCTTATGTTAAAGGAAATGTGTACTTTAATTCCATCTTTGAAGTTACTGCATCTTTAACAGCCTAGTTCTGAGTAGGTACTCAATCTGATGAAGGAGTACAGATTTCTTCTTTCTCTCCCTTTTACCTTCATCCTATTCCTTCCTTCTTTGAATGAAGTTTTACAGTAAGAAAAGTGATTGGGAATTTGTTGGCCTAATAATATCTGAAGTTAAATGACAAGAGATTGTCAAATCAAGATATTGGGGTCTCTCAGGTGCAGCAACCCCTGGAATAATAAGAGGGACATCATTCTTTATCCCTATAAAGTAGTCATATTCATTTATATGATTTCTCACTCCCTATAGCAGCCCTAGGAAAATGGCTACAGGATTTATTTTTCCTTAGTCTTAGGTTTAAGGTATAGTTTAACTCAAATGTGTAATTTTCCTAACCCTAGGAGTTCTGTTTTTTTTTTTTTTTTTTGAGAGGTTTTCGCTATAGGGCACGTGCGCTTGCCAGACAGACAGAGAGAGACAGAGAGACAGAAAGCAAGAAATCACCCCCCATGGGAGATGGTCACGCCGCAATCCCTTCTCCTCCATTCTCCTCTTGGGATCTTGGGCACGCACGCACACACACCCGGCGTGAGTTTTAAGCCACCGGGATGCGAACTGCGGTCGACTACGTGGGAGTCCAGCGACATAGCCATTATGCTAACTGCTGGTTCCCCTAACCCTAGGAGTTCTCAAGGAACCAAAAACCCTGCTCTTTCTCTAGAAAGAGCACACACACCCAGAGGAAATTCACAGAGGACATCTTAGTGAATTTCACCTTCGCTGCTCACTCTAGTCCCCTTCACCCCTGGAACACTGGCTCTCACCTAATGTAGCAGCTGACCAAGTTGTGTTCTCACCATTAGCTTGTGGTAGGGGTGCCGCTGTAGGAAGTTCCAGGCTGTTCCAGTGTGCCCATTCTAGGTACTGTTGTATTTTGGACATAAGACAGGATGGGACTGGGAAAGGATAAGGCATCAACCATGTAGACAGGTGCCTCCCACTCCAAACACCAGCTCAGAAACCTTCGCTCTGTACCTGAAGGTTAAAGCATGGCATATATCTTGATGGAAGAACACATTTTCATATTTTTCTAGGCTTTCCTTGTGGCTTCAATATTATTCTTTACTTGAGGGTATGCCATGTCTTTCTGCCAAAATTCTCTCCCTTTGGTGATAACACACAAATGACTATTTGACATTTTTTGGTGTGCTAACTATAATGTATACTTTGTGTCAAACACTTCTAGCATATTATTTCCTTTTCTCCTCTTTACAGAGGTAGGTATTATAGATTAAGTTTTATAGATTCTGATCCCAATATTACATGGAATGAGAGGAGTCTGGTTTTGAATCCAGGTCTTTCTGACTCAGTTCAAATTCTGTGTCGTGTATATAGCCTTTTAATTTTTCATCCTTTACCCAACTGTAGTTCTTAATCCTTTATCTTTTCTTACTGAGCAGCAACATTAAATCATACCTAGTGAAGTGATTAATGTGAAAATAGATCCCCTTTCCAAGAGAATTAAAAGTAAAACCAGAAAATAAGCAAAAGCAAAACCCCCACAAATCTAACAAATGAAAACTCAGAAACCAAAAGTTAGATGATGTTTTTAGTTGATCTGTCAGCCATTCCACTAAGGCTATACCTGTTAAGTTGAAGGTCTCCATGCTGAATGGGATGCAAAGGAACTCTTTATCAGCCATGGGCTTTGTTTGAGGCTCTACTTAAGAAACACCAACAGAAAAACACAGAAGGAAAACTGTTCTTAACATACTAGACTATTAATGTATGGTTAGATATAGCAGCTGGCTTTTTTTTCCCCCTATGTTAGAAATAGTTCCTGAATCTAGCAGCGTAAAATAGTAATTCCACTTGTCTGGGCCTGGCATGGCTGATCCTCACCAATCTCATGCATCTGCAATGACTTGTTGGCACCCTGGGGGAGGGGAGATCTGCAATAGCTTTGCCCATATTTCTGGTTGTTGATTCACCATCCCTGAACATTGGAGTGACTGTGCCATGGGGTCCCTCATTCTTAGTAGGCTAATCTGGCCTGGTTCATATGGTAGAGTCTATACTAATTCAGAAGAATAGATAAAGCATTCCAGTCTCCCTAGACATAGCCTTGGGATTGGTGCATTGTTGTTTTTGCCATGTTTTTTTTCATCAGAGCAGGTCTAAAGGCTAGCTCAGATTCACAGGGTAAAGATATAAAATCTCTCAATGGCAAGTTACATCACAAAGGGCAAAGATTTAAAGGAGAGTCTTAGGGCTATTTTGCAACAATAGGTCAAAAGTAACAGGTCCATTGTCTCACAGGTCATAAGAGAGCCAAGGTCTGAGTCCAGGCAGCATGACTCCAGAGGGCATACTCTTAACTACCATTCTACACTACCTCTGTGTACATGGGAGTTACTCTTAACTTTTGGTGGAAGCTATCTTAAAAGGCAGGATGGCTCCATTATCAAATCAGGAATCCAGGGCTTTCACACTATGTCAGAACAGATAACTTGAATCCTTTTTTTTTTTTGAAGAGGTTTTTGCTATAGGGAGCGAGGGCTCGCCAGCCAGACAGAGAGAGACAGAGAGATAGAAAGCGAGAAATCAACCCCCAGGGTGGATGGCCATGCCACAATCCCTTCTCCTCCATTCTCCTCTTAGGATCTTGGGCACGAACGCACATGTGCCCGGTGTGAGTTTAAGCCACCAGGTCCAGGACTCGAACTGGGATCGACTACGTAGGAGTCCAGCGCCATAGCCATTACGCTAACTGCTGGTCCCCGAACAGATAACTTGAATCTTAACAACTTACCAGTTGTGTGTTCTTGGACAACTTACTCAAAATCTTTGAATTTCAGTTCCCTCAAATTAAATATAATAGTTTTTTTTTTATAAGAACTATTGGGTTGTTGGAAAAGGCATGATGCATTTTTTTTTTTCATAGAAAAATATGTCATGACTTTCCCAACAGCCTGGTAAGTAAGATAATAAGATGCAGTCATTTCTGTCATAACAACCCAACATATGTACTTCTAAAGATCACCATGTTATGTAAAAATCACACAATAAAAGTCACAAGGGTTATAGAAAAAAATAAGTTTAGAGACACTAAAACCTTAGTTATACCCACAAACAAGGAATGGAACTCCAATGAGAACAGTCTTACTGGTTCGGAAATATTTAAGTACAACAAATATTGTCTCTTTACCTTGAAAAAGACTCAAGGTTTGTTGCACTGGGTGTCTACAGGCTGCAGCTCGTGGTTTATCAGGGAGTGGTGGGTGGAGCATTATCTGAAATTGGCTAACACATTGTAGCACTAGATATGGATGAAGGTGACTCATGACATGTGGTGAAGTGAGGCAGCTGGTGGATGTTCGCAGTGTGTGCGTGTAAGTGCTCTGTGTGCTCTCAGGCAGTCTCTTTTTATCTGAGTGCAGTTTTCTGCATTCATCTACCATTTCTTGCAGAAATAATTGTGCATAAGTAAATGAAATTTGCATTATGGGAAATTGTTCCCCAACATATCAATCATTTTTGGAACAAGCTTGTGTTTTGAAAACAAGCATTGTAAAGAATTGAGAGAGAGCTGTTAGCACGCATCCAGCCCTTACTACCACTCCATAAAGATTGGCTCATTACTATTAACAATGAGGCCACATTGGATGTGAGAGAAAGACACATTATACTCCTTTGCAAGTACTAACCAGGCCCAGGCTTGCCTGGCTTCTGAGATCAAATGAGATCAAGTGGTTTCGGGGTGGTATGGCCATAAACAAGAGAGTATTCAATGGCATTGGTGTATGTGAAGGGAGAAAGTGTGGGTGTTTGACAGGAGTTTGGTAATAGGAAGGCCGGGGAGCAAGAACTGTCATGCATTTCTGGCAATGGTCAGTGCACCCAGGGTCCTGCCTTTTTGGAAAACAAATTTCAACTTGCAGATGAATGTGTCAGGCCTAATAACATTGGTTATTCGGATCATCCAGCTTCCTCCTCCTGCTCCACATTGTGCTTACCCATCAAACTTCCGATGATGATTTATCTCCTGCGTCATTACGAGATTGTGAAGGATTCCTGATGACATAAACATTCCAGATGACCTGTTACATTTCTTTGTGTAATTTGCTAAATTGGCACTCTGCTTTGTATACTGGTCTCCTGTAAATTCCCAGGGATTATTCAACTGCAGGCACATGGGCATATTCTATTTTCTGGATCTAGGAAGTGGAGGAGCAGATGCTGGAACGCTGTGACCTACAGAGTGTGCGCCTGCCAGCCCTGGCAGATTCCCCCCCAGATGACATGATTACTCACTAACAGCAAGTGCTGGCACGTGACAGTGTAAGGTATGGACACATCTGAAGTAGGCTCTAAGTTTTCTTCTTTCATGGAATTAGGGTCCTTTCTTTCTCTCAATAGTAATTGGGTTCAATTGCTGGAATCTGTACTTCAAGTATAGCATCTCTCTTTAACTTGAATATTGGACAGCTGACTGAATAAATTTGCACCTGCAAATATTGATTTTTCTCTCTCTTCAGGGGGTAGATTACTTTAGGAAGAAAAAAGACTATGAAATTTGGCTGTCTACTCTATTTCCTATTCATTTTGAACCAAATTTGAACTAACAAAAGCACATATGATTACTGTCACCAAAGAAGGAACTTGGAGGGAAATAGACTCTTTTTTCACTTTGCGTCATTGTAGTACTGTCATCCATTTAACTCCATGACTGGATCTGTGGTCATTCCTCTTGCCAATTGTGAAAGTTCATAGGCTATCCCGTTGGATCAATTCATACAGTAAAACAAACTACAAGCATCTGCAGACATCTGTTGTAGTCTGAAGCCAAAAATAATTATGCAGTCAGGTAAATGGGAACTGTGGTCAAGTATCTGAAATCCTTCAAAATGTAAAATTCAATACTATACGATTATTATTTGCCATTTTCTAAGAATACTGTAATATTTAAACTAACTCAATCATAGTTTGCATATCTCCAGGATAAAATTCTTTAAAGTTGTATACATCTTCATTGTTTTTAAGAGCTTACTAAGTAAATTTCTTAGGAGTCAATTATTAGTTCAATAACACTTATTACACACATTAATTGAATGTCAGGCAATGTATTGTGTGCTGAGGATATAACAATTGTATGATCATCAGCCATGAAGAGTTTGAGCTCTGGTTGAGGAAAAATACAAACTAATGAGTAACACTTATGCAAATTACTAATTTGTTTATTTGACAAATCCATATGAAGAACCAAAGTTCCAAGACTTATTCTATCATTGAGAATGCAACAACTAAACCAAGACAAGGTCCCATCTTTGTTAAGGGACACATTGCAATACAATGTGTATTGTAATGTGAAAAAAAATAGTCAACAAATTAGAACACAATAAGTGAAATAATTTCAGACCGCCATGACTGCTATGAAGAAAAGGCAGAAGTGAGTTGGGAGGGTAGTATTTAGCTAGGGTTGTTAGGAATGGCCAATCTGAGTAGGTGATCTATCAGGAAATGATAGCAGTGAGGATCTGAAGGAGACATTTTCCAACCAGGGAAGCAGAAATTACAAAAACCCTGGGGAAATAATGCATTTGACATGTTGGAAGCACCTTGTGCAGACCTGTGTCGTTGAAAGAGGAATGCATAAGACTTGAAGTCAACAATGTTGGCAGGTACATTAAGACCATGATAAAGCACTAAAATTTTATTCTAAATATGATAGGAGCTGGTGAGGAGGGTTGAACAGTAAAATAGCCTGATTCATGTTTTTAAAAAATCACTCTGGCAGCTTATGCAGGGAGCTAGATAGAAATGGAATGACGAGGTGGTTTTTGCTAGAATCGAGAGGAGATAGTGATGGTGAGGACAATCTCAGCCATAAATAGGGTTACAAAATGATTGACATTATAAAAGTTCTGTATGCAAAGAACTGGGAGAATGCAGGTTCAAGTAGAGGTCATGTTGCTCTGTAAGATTGGGACTTCCTCAAGAGAGCAAGTAGGCTGTTCCATGTGGGACTAGGCTGAGATCAGCAAGCTTCTTCTATGAAGGGCCAGAGGATGACTCTTTTAGACTTTGCGAGACATATAGTATCTGTTGCAGTAATTCAGCTCTATTGCTATAGCTCCAAAGCAGCCATAGATAATGCATATGCAATAAATGTGGCTTGGTTAGGATTAAACTTCATTAACGGAGCCAGTCAGATTTGCACTGCTGGCCATGGTTTAGTAATCCCTGGTCTACAGCTAACCATTTTCAACACTGTCAAATTTCTTATTCTCCCTTGGATTTTATTCTATTTCTCTTTACTCCCCACTCTTTCGACTTTGTTTATGCACCTCTTGAGAACCTGGACACATTTGGTACATTGTTTAAGTTATTTATAGTCTCATCAACTATTATGATCTAAAAAAGAAAAAAAAAGTCTCTTAAAAAGATTGATCTGGGAACCAGCAGTTAGCGTAATGGCTATGTCGCTGGACTCCCACGTAGTCGACCGCGGTTCGTGTCCCGGACCCGGTGGCTTAAAACTCACGCCGGGCGTGTGTGCGTGCATGCCCAAGATCCCGAGAGGAGAATGGAGGAGAAGGGATTGCGGCGTGACCATCCCCCCTGGGGGGTGATTTCTCGCTTTCTGTCTCTATGTCTCTCTTTGTCTGTCTGGCGAGCGCACGCGCCCTACAGTGAAAATCTCTCCTAAAAAAAATATTAAAAAAAAAAAAAGATTGATCTGATGTCCTATGATACATATAATCTGAAACTTTCTCAAGACTCACACCAGCTTCATGGAGAAAAGCCCACACTATTCTCTATTTCTAGATTACTATTCTATCTTCTGAGTTGGGATTCTGACACTGAAAAGTGTTGATTACAGAGATATGGTAGTCATATCTCATTAGTTCTGATCTTCAACTCCTAGCTACAATCAAATAACAAATTCTTTTGACTCTTCTTCATGAGGTTTTCTATCCATTGATTACCCTTTATATACTCTAGGTTAATCAGAAAACAAAATAATGTAGGTATTTGAAATTTAACAGAGTGAATTGGTATAACCAGTGAAGAAGCTAAAATCAATATAGGGAGCTGGAGATCAGAAATTAGAAACACCTACAAGCTTCTACCAGCCCTGGGACAAAGGTGGGAGCTGGGCTTACTGTCGCCCACAGGTTGGAGCCCCCAGTCAGAAAGAACCTACAGTAGGCCTACACTGCAGGAAGTGGAACCAGAGAGCAGACAGAGTTTTACTGGGACGATAACTGAGACAGTGAAGTAGAGGGGAAAATCACTTCTCTCTCCACTGGTTAAACTTAGCCAGAAGTCAATGACATAAGAGCCTGTGAAACACACTGAGACAGAGCATAGCAAAGAAAGGACAAAGAATAGATCTGAGGGAACAGACTTCGGACATGATCATGCTGTTTTTCTTCTGCTACTAGTCTAGTTAGTTCAGGGACTTAGTGCCTTATACGTTATTGGCTGTGTATTGAACTTACCTTGTCAAGTCCCTCAGCTTCCAAAACTCATCCATTCTTCAAGTTGCGGTATTGGCCAAACCCATAGCCAGCTTTTATGGTTGAACTCAAGTCTTACCTGTCTTTTGAAATATTTTTGATCAAACAAATAAACAAAAAGTACTTTAAGCTACTTCTTTTGAAACCTTTTCTGAAACATCATTTCTAATAAGCCCTGGATACTTAATTATATATTGCCTTCTATTGATAATAACAATTCTCCCAAGTTAACTGTAGGTTTCTGAACACCTTGTAGTTTTTTGATACTGTCTATGGAGCATATCACATGGTGAGTATAAGTAGAGCCAAACAAATATTTATTGACTGATTCGATATGAGAGAACCTATGACAAATTAGAAAATGATAGAATCTTTTTTCTGTTTTTGAGAGAATTTTGCTATAGTGCACTCACCAGAGATAGAAAGTGAGAAATCACCTCCCAGGAACCAGCAGTTAGCATAATGGCTATGTCGCTGGACTCCCACGTAGTCGACCGCAGTTCGCGTCCCGGATACAGTGGCTTAAAACCCACGCCGGGGCGCGTGTGCGTGCGTGCCTAAGATCCTGAGAGGAGAATGGAGGAGAAGGGATTGCGGCATGGCCATCCCCTCTGGGGGGGTGATTTCTCACTTTCTGTCTCTCTGTTTCTCTCTGTCTGTCTGGAGAGCGCATGCGCCCTATAGTGAAAAATCAGATGTGCCTGGTGTGAGTTTCAAGCCACTGGGTCCAGGACATGAACCACGGTCAACTATGTAGGAGTCCAGTGACATAATCATTACACAATATGCTGGTCCCAGAAAATGAGAGAATCTTGAAGGCAGGAAGAAAACCTCATTTGCTTAATTCAGAATCTCTTCAGTAGTTACAGACTCACAGAATTCAGGAGAAATTGGCAAAAATAGAGAAAGGTTTTTCAGAGAGGTCAAAATAAGGACAGCACTTGAAATCCTTTCTTAGAAGGGAAACTGAGTAGGGCACACCTGCACACACACATGTGCTCACACACACACACACCCCTCAGGATGAGCAGTCTGAGCAGACACAGACTCCAATCAGGTGCTCTGTTTACAAGTACAGGGTGAAAAGTACCAGTAGCAAACAGAGTAGTTGGTCTTACAAATCCGAATATTTCCATATGAAGTTAGAGCAACAATTACTGGAGAAGTTTCCTGTGATCCCTCTGAAAGACTCACCACCACTATGAGTTCTCTGTCTTTCTTTGGCAGAAAGCTGGCCTCAGAGTTAGCTCCCCCAGGCCCACATTGTCCCTCTCTGATGTGAGCTATTTGAAGAAAATGAGTTTGGGTTTTGTCCAACCGAGCACTAGGAACAGACAGCCTCAGAACCAGCGGTGATCCAGAATCTCCTTGTCATTCACGGCTGATTGCACAGCTCAGCTGAACTTGCTTGGATGGCCTCGGATATCCTCTTTTGGTGATTCAGCTTCTCCACAAGTCAACAGCTTCAGTTTTCACACTACGCAACTTTGTGTAAACATTTTCCTGTCACATTCTGGGTAAGTGACAGGGCAACATCATGTGTGCTATGTAGGCATTTTCATTCCTTGGTGTCCATCAATAAACCTTCCACAATCCATATCCATATGGATGCCCCTTGTAGTTATGCCAGATTCAAAGTCTTGCTGGTTTTTTACAGAGCATGATGTCCTTCGAAACCAGCATCTGGCCCTCCAGACTTTGGGGTGTTTATGGATATGGAAAGGAGAGAGAGATTGGGAAAAAAAATTGTCAGTAAGAACTTGGTGGCTCTACTAGGGGAAACTGCTCTGAAACAGGCAGAGCCTAAGAGTATAGCAATGTGGA